TTTGAGAATGAATCCTCGGAAGAATTCAAAATTTTAAATCTTAGAAGAACCGAATCAAATAAAAGTTTAGAATTATTATTGAATCATGGAGAAGATTACTTACACTATTCTGTTCAAAAGAATCCAAAATTAGTAACAAATATTTCAATAATTGGACCGCGTTATACATCACTTGACTAAGCGACATTTTATCGTTTTTCTTGCTATCTGGTAAGTAAAAGTGTAACTTATCTTAGAAAAAATGCAGAATACCGAAAGACCTAAAATACTATTCGTCTTAAAGGCCAAGCGAAAGGCTAAGTAAGCGCGTTTGTATCATACGTCTAAGAACCGACTTAGATACGATTATTGCACTAAAACTAGAACTAACACAAGACCTAGAACTAGAATCATTCAAAATGAAACAACCAGAAGGTAGGATATTACCATTACACGTTAAAGGACAGGAATAATAGAAAGGAAAAATAGAAAAATAGAATCATTCAGGTTTAGCCGTCTTGAGAGACGTGGGACTAAATCCGAATGTTACTAGTTCTCTCTCTCTAGTTGTATGTTTTATTGAACTAAAACTAGAACGAGAACTAAAAACTTTCCGGTTTAGTCGTGAAAAAAACTTTCAGTTGTCAATATCAACTTTAATTTTATTATTATATTAGTAATCTTCATGAAATAACCTTTAAAGGGAGTCGAAACTTGACGCATTTATCTCAAAAAAACAAAAAATTTGAACTTTCAACTTTTAATTTTGACATATTTGTCAACTTCATAAAAAATCCTTTAAAATGAGTCCAAACTCGACATATTTAACTTTAATATTAATGTAAATACAATCACTTCCGATTTGAAACGTCAACGTCAATTTTGACATATTTGTCTTCTTCATCGAAAAACCTTTAAAATAAGTCCAAAGATGACTTATCTCAAAAAACAAAAAAATTAGAATAAAAAACATTAAACCCAAAGTTAGCAACAATGAAGATAGCAATTTAATTTTTAAATATTAATACCAACCTTAATTTTTGATTTTTTTTGATTATTCCGTTTTGGCGACAAATTTTAACACATTATATTATTTTACACATATATAAACGTATCATGTTTGGACTCATTTTAAAGGATTTTTCACGACGATAACAAATATGTCAAAATTGACGTTGACATTCTTAACCGGAAGTTGACCATAACTTCATTAATATTGAAGATAAATATGTCGTGTTTGTACTCATTTTAAAGGATTATTAATGAAGGTTACAAATATGTCAAAATTGAGGTTGACATTTTAAATCTGTTTTCTTTTTATTTTAAACGTGTTTTTTGGGTCATTTCACATTGATTAAAAAAATCGTCGATTTTTAAGCTGTAAACTTGTAACACTTCGTCTTTAATTTCATTTTACAACTTTTTAAACTTTAATTTTGTAAATTAGTAACTAATAATCTGATTTCAACTTTGATATGTGATCTTTTTTAACAAAACAAAAAGAAATATTAAGAAATTTGTTTGTAAAATGGATAAGATGAGAGATCTTAATCTATTTGTAGAGTCTCTGAAGATGACCAAGGGCCGAAACTGGTTAGACTTAAATTCTATATGAAATAAAAACCAGTTTAAAAGTACAAAATCAAACTCTAGATTATTTTTTTCAAAATTTTTTACAAGAATCGTCATCATTTTGTCTCTAGTTTTGGTGATTAAATTTATGCCACGACTTACAGAAACACCTGTATAATCGCAAAATGTAACAAGTAACCAAACGGCTTCTGTGCTTGTGATAGCTGTCATCAGTGTTCTGTGATAAAATTGGACAGGCACCACACAATTTTCAATAGTTTGAGCCTGTCTATTCTGAGATGAAAACGAAAATCTCGTTTTTCTCAACATTATTCATTTGTCGCTTAGTCAAGTGATGCATAACGCGGTCCAATTAGTATAATATTTTGTTGTGTATTTAGACAAACGCGCACGCCCTCTGCAATGAACGAAGCGTTGGTCAACAGAGTGACTTGTAAAACTATGTGTTATTGTTAGTTATTAAGTTATTAAAGGAAATATAGTATATTTTAACTATTTAGAGTTCTAATGTGAACTCTAATGTGAAGAATTTTGAACAATATATCGAATGCCTTGAACAGTATATTATAATTAATGATATCAAAGAAGAAAAGAAAGCGGCATTGTTAATTACGTTGATAGGAACAAAGGTGTATGCCATATTAAAAAATTTATTATTACCCGATAAGTGTTAAAGAAATATTATTCGCCCACTAAAAATATTATTGCCGAAAGATTCAAATTTAATAAAAGAGACCAAGAAGAACATGAGAATATTAGTGAATATGTCGTGGAATTACAGAAGTTAGCACATACGTGTAATTTTGGGGTTTTCCCGAACGAAGCACTGAGAGATAGATTCGTAGCAGGAATAAAATCATTGGCACTTCAAAGAAAATTGTTGGCGGAAGAAAATTTAACATGGGAAAACGGAAAAAAATGCAGTTAATATGGAGTTAGCCGATTCCCAAATGAAAGAATTTAAAACGTCTGGCATGGGCGTTAGTCGAGTCAATCTTAAATATAACAAAAGTCAAAAAGAGTTATACGTATCAAGAAAGTCGTCAAGTAGTTAGGGAAGTGATATAGGAAAGAAATGTCAAGTCGAAATTAATAAAAAGGATCAGTCTGTAAGGTCAAGCGCAAGGGAAAACAGGAAGAAATGTTATAGATGTGGGAGAAGTAACCATGATCATGAGGATTGTCCGGCAATTAATTGGAAATGTTATGCCTGTCAAGGTAGAGGTCACATAGCGACGTGCTGCAGGAAGAAAAAAAGAATATATGGAGCGGAGTCAGAAGTGGAGTCCGATGGCACAAGTGAACAGAGCAGTGATGAGTGTGAATTAGCGATTCAACAAATAAATATTAATACAGTTCATGATAAGTTATTATCATTTAGTAAGATAAGTATTAATAAAAGACTAGTAACGATGGAGGTCGATTCGGGTGCTAGTGTTAACATACTATCTAAAGACAAATTTGATGTGATATTACCAAATTGTAAATTACAGAGTTGTCCAAAACAACTTTTGTCGGTTTGTGACAATAAACTAAAAGTTGCACGTCAGAGCAATGTTAGGATAACTACTAAAAATAAACAAAAAGTATTATTGCCGGTAGTCGTTATAAATGAAAAAAAATGTTAGTTTATTAGGTCGTCCCTGGGTAGATGTATTGGTCCCCGAATGGTAAAAAGTTGATACAATAATTAAAAATAAACCAAATACGTCTAATAAAAGTTTAGAAAACAGTAATAGTGGTAATAGTGTAAATAATGAAAAAAGTAAGTTCAAAACAGATGAAAATAATTGTATAAAACATTTTCTGGCGAAAATTGTTTTAAAAGATGATGCCTTGCCTGTATTCCATAAAGCCTATTCAGTTCCTATATTACAGAGAGACTTGATTGAAAAGGAAATAAAGAGGTTGGTCAAGGAAAATATCATAAGCTCAGTACGTCACAGCGAGATTGTCCGATTGTTATTGTTGAGAAGAAATCCACAAATAATGAAGAGAAGAAAATTCGTCTTTGTGTCGATTTTAAGAAGACCTTGAATCCTAATGTGAAGAAAGACCATTATCCATTACCCTTACTGGAGGACGTGATTAATGCGATGGCTGGAGGTTAGTATTTCACTATTATCGATTTAAAAAATGCCTATTTACAATTAAAAGTTCAACCTACTTGTAAGAAATATTTGACAATTAATACCCACCTTGGATTGTTTGAATATAATCGACTACCATTTGGTGTCACTTCAGCACTAAGAATTTTTAAATCCATTATGGACCAGATTTTGAAAGATATACCAATGACCGCATGCTATATAGATGATGTTACCGTAGCAGGTGGAGATGAATTAGCAGATGAATTGAAGAAAAATGTAGATGCCGTGTGCAAACAACTTGAGAATTATAATGTAATCATCAATTATGAAAAGAGTCAATTCAATAAATTGTCGGTTGAGTTCCTGGGTTACAAAATGGATGCTAATGGTATTCACCCTGTAGAAAATAAAATAGAATCGTTAATGCAAGCACCTGCCCCCACAAATTTGACTGAGTTACGCTCTTATTTGGGATTTTTAAACTATTACCATAAGTTTATTCCAAACGCTTCATCTCTATTGCAACCACTATATGATCTAGAGCGAAAGGTTAATCCTTTTCACTGCAGTAAAGAATGTCAGAAAGCATTTGACAAAAGTAAACATCTAGTAAAGTCCAATGCTACACGTGATTATTTTAATCCTAAATATCCTACACGCATTACTTGCGATGCATCTAAAACAGGAGTTGGGGGAGTATTGAGCCAAATTGTTGAAGATGTGGAGAGACCAGTAATGTTTGTTTCTAGAACGTTGTCCAATACTGAGCGGAACTACGCTCAATTTCAAAAGGAGGCATTGGCAATCATCTTTACAGTATAAAAATGTCATAAATACCTTTATGGAAGACCATTTGAATTGATTAGTGATCATCAACCGCTAAAGATATTGTTTGGAGAAAAGAATGGTTTACCTATTCATGTATCTCAAAGATTACAGAGATGGGCCATTATCTTGTCAGGATACAATTATAAGATCTTATATAAAAGAGGAAAAGAAATAGGAAACGCTGATTGTCTATCAAAGTTGCCGCTCATTAACAAGGAACTTATCGAAGAAGTTGATATAAATATTCTGGATACACATTTCCCAATTACAGCAAAAGATATCGCTTGTAACACAAATCAAGACACTACATTATGTCAAATAAAAGAATATCTTCAAAATGGATGGCCTATGAAAGTTGAAAATGACAATATTAAGCCTTATTTCAGGAAACAAAATGAATTGTCTATCGAAGAGAACTGTTTCTCTACTTAGCAATCGAGTTGTGATTCCCTACCAATTGAAAATGAGAATTTTGGAACTCCTCCATGATCGATGATGTTGATGATATTGGCATGGTAAGAATGAAAATGTTGGCAAGAAATAATTTATGGTGGCCTCTGATGGATGAAGATATAGAGCAGTATTGCAATAAATGTGATGTTTGCAAATTTACCCATGGCAAACCATCAACAACGACTATAGTACCTTGGCCAAAGTCAAACACATGTTTTGAGAGAGTGCACTTAGATTTTTTTCAGAAGTGTGGGAGATATTTCGTGTTGCTGGTGGATAGATTCAGTAAGTGGTTGGAAGTAAAAGTAATTAAAAATACAACGGCGGAGGAATTAATAATTACGCTAAGATCAATTTTTGCCACTGTTGGGTTGCCACAGCAAATAGTTAGAGATAATGGACCACCATTTGGATCATCAGAATTTAACAAATTTTGTAAGTTAACAATATACCGTATTGTTAACACATTCTCCTCCATACCACCCTCAATCTAATGGGTTAGCAGAAAGAAATGTAGCAACAGTTAAGAAAAATTTGGCAAAACAATTAAGGAAAATGAACAAAGACAACGTAGAAAATCTCTACAACTACTATTGAATAATTTTCTTTTAAAACATAGAAACATGCCAAATACTGTAAATGGACGCAAGCCTACAGAACTTGTTTTCCAAGAACACTCCTTACATTAATTCATCCACATGCTGTTAAAGATGAAGAAAAGGCAATGATGATGAAGAGGAGACAAGCGGCATTTCATATAAATGATAAAGTGTTCGCTTTTATTAATTTGGGCGGAAGATTGGGACATTGGAGGGCAGGAAAAATAATAGAAAGGAAGAGTTATAGAACTTACATGATGGAATTTGATGATGGAACTAGATTTATGCATGTAGATCATTTGAAAATGGATAAAAGTAAAAATCAACACAGTGAAAATATATCAGAGGATGAGAAGAATGTGAGATATCAATCAGAAGAATGAAGATAAGACAGATAAAGAGGTACCTGTGACTATGGAGACAATGGAGAAATCTAAGATACCGCAAAGTCCAGAATCGGATTCCTCAGATCATCCCTCTACTCCCAAATCTCCTAAAACCCCTAACTTACGTTAATCTAAAAGAATCATAAAGGCACCACAAAAACCAGATTTGTAACGAAGGAGGGAAAACTGTGTGTTATTGTTAGTTATTAAGTTATTAAAGGAAATATACTATATTTAGAGTTCTAATGTGGGTTTTATTGATCAGGTACACAACATATTTGATCGGTTAAACTTAGTTGGTCCAATTCATATAAAGGTGAAACTTTTTATGCAGATGTTATGGAAAGAAAATCTTGACTGGGTTGATTCTTTGTCAGAAGATTTATACCAAATATGGTTAGCTAGAATTGTGCGCTGCCGTGCTGTGTTGTTGGCAAAATTGATGAAACGAATGCAAAGGACATTTAAATTGAGGAGTGATTCTCTATATTATTGGTATGATTCGACAATTCGACAAGTTGGTTAAGGGTAGAATGTCGTAAATGGAAAATTTACATATCAAATAGAGTTACTAATATACAACAATCAACCCAAGTCAACCATTGGAAACACGTTGGTACGAAGGATAATGATGTGGTAATGTCCTAAAGTGGTAGAAATAAAAACCAAATCAGGTTTAATAAAACGATTATTACCTATTAATGAACAAAAAAATGAAATAATTTGTATTATGATGTTATTACGTATTATCTGTTCACATTATCTGTTATACTTTATTGAAATAAAGATTTCAATTAATAACAATTTAGTTAAAGCGCTTCTAGTGGCTTTAGAGAGTTTTTACACAGCAACGCGAAAAATAACATCGTAACAATTTCCTCAAATAATAAAAAAAGTTTCTAATTTATGTAAAAACAGTTCATAGTGGAAAGAAAGTGGCATTGCGTTCGATATTGCCGCTTGTAATTTTAGTGACGATCTTATAACCATTATGGAAATAATACAAGCACTAAAGTTAACAATTGGAAGATTGTTCTTTGAGTTTTTCCACGAAACTCACGTCGCATTGTCCACGCTGACGCTCCATGACCAATGAGACTAAAGAAGCCCGTAGAAGTTATAGTCAGCCAGATTAGCTGAGAAGACCATCAAGAAGGACAAATGTACCGTGCAGGAATCACTGGTTAGAGGCTTCAAAAGAAAACATTTAATTTTTCGTAATGATCAACTTAAACGTATTGTTTAATTTGTACGAATGATTTAGCATTTCTAAACGGATTTTAAAAAACTTTTTTTTTATATTGTATCTAAACTTGTCTCTTTTAAAAACATTTTTACGTATGTTTTTTATCAATAAATATGACATTTCTGGTCAAATGGGCAACATTTTGCCAAAAATGAATATTTTTTAAAAATCCTATGTAGATCCCTAGTTTTTGAGTTTAAAAAAGTAATCGTTCTCGAAATTTGATTATTCGACTTCCGGTTTAGGAGAATTCCTGCACGCCAATTGACTCTGTACGATTTGCAAGCCTAACATTGCACATGCTAATAAAACACGTTTTTAAAACTAGAAAAGCTGCATATATAAACCCCACAACCCGTTTTTAGAAAGCATTTTTCCCCACGTTGCAAAAGTTATCTTTATATTCGGCTCTCCAAGGTGGCATACCCCCTTAAAATGAGTAAAACTTTACAATAATAATGTATAAAACATATAAATTAATATAACAACATAATAATAAATTAAAAGATTCAAATCAATCCGAATAATTCTTTAATCGAAGCAAAAGTATAATAAACCCGTATTTTAAACAACATCCAAAACTTCGCCACGCCATATTGAAATTTTTTCAACCTACCTTTCGAATTATCGATTTTTTTGGTATAAACGGTCTCGATGCAACATTGAGACATCACCCGAAACGACCCCATCCTGGCACTAGTCTTCAAAGTGTGATCAATCCCACGCATTAAATCGTTCGTTTTAAAAATTAAAAGGAGTTGGCGATTAACTTGATCTAACACGTCGATTATTTGAGAGGCGTACGTTGGGATTTGTACTTGGAACGTTTCTTTTTCTTTCTCCGTCGGTTTGCGCCTAAAAAAAAATAAAATAAAGCTTTTTTAATCGAAAGATTTTTTCCTTACTTATCAATTCCTTTCATAACTGAATCCCAAGTTCTACCTGTTATCATACAAGCGAATAAACCATAAAAATTCTCCTTTATACCCAACTTTGATGTGTAAAGTCGCATTGCTACCGTATCACGATTTAAAATGCTTAACCATAAATTTGCGTACGCAACCATAATTTCTCCATTTAACGTCTAAAACGATTAAATTCCAATTAATTGGTTTATTTGATTAAATTAAATTTACCGCGTAAAGTCCGTGATCTAATAAAACGATATCACAATTCCCTTTTTCATTTTTCTTCACTAAAATATTTCCGGGGTGTGGATCGCTATGCACAAATCCATGAATAAAAATCATGTTCGAATATAACATCCCAAGCTTATCGGACACTTCCAACGGATTAATCTTATTTTCTTTAATATAGTTAATATCGTTAACTTGCCCCCCATCCAAATACTCCATGGTTAAAACCCGTTTAGTTGTTAAATCCCATCGAATCGATGGTACCCTCAACCATGGGACATCTTTGAATAATCCTGCGATTTTTTCAGCGTTGAGACCCTCGTTTTTAAAATCTAACTCGGTTGGTATGTTCTTTTTCGATTCGTTCACTAACCATTGGAATTTAAATTCCGGGAAGAAATATTCGACAACTTTCACGAGATATTCCATAGTTTTCATATCAACCCGAGAATTTCCCAAAACCGCCGGATGTTGCACTTTGACAGCTACGGTTGTACCATCTTTTAATTTTGCTTTGTGTACTTGAGCTAATGATGCCGAACCAATTGGTTCCGGGGAGATTTCTTCAAATATATCATTTATCTAAATCAAAAAAAATAAAAAAATGGAAAATAACGAATTGACCAAAAACACAATAACAAATAACAACACAATATAAAACAAAAGGCAAATGAACAAGAGAACCAAGTTAAGTAGCACCTTGGTTCTGCAACTTTGTCTTCCCTTGGCTACACTCCCATCCTAATAATAAATCCTATCATACAAGCTACACCCTTTCCCAACACACCTCTAATGACAGAATAAAAATTAAATAAATGACAAATACAGTGCTAGCGTAAAGTAACCCCCCCCCCTGTTTAACTTCTGAACAGATTGAGATATCAATATGAACAAAAAAACGTCAGTTTCTATATTTTATCAGCACAAATATTTTCTTATGGAAAATTTTGGTATCACTTTTAGTTTTTCCGGAAAATGGAACAGCTTTGT